GCTTGAGGCATACAATTAACTAGGAATGAACTCAGCACCATTGAAGAAAAGACAAATAAATGCCATGATGGACCATAAAGGCGATTTCCAAGTCATTCGTATCTTACAAGTTATAGCTGCATGTCCTTGAGATACCACCATATGTATGCGGTATTAAAAATACACACAGGCTTTATTTCTTAAAGAATATTTTTTCATTACAGTCCTACCCCATTTACTTTTAGACCCATTTTGGCATGGAAGAAAAAAGTCCATGAACAATACGATCAGTCTTTATTGGAAGGTAAAGGAGTGTGAAACCTTGCTTTACAGACTTGAAGCATGGCGGAAAGGCAATGTGATATAGTGCAAGGTTTCAAAAATTGAATATTTTATAGAAAAAGAAAAAAAATACGGATATCTGTGTTTAAAGAAGTTGAATACATAACTCGATATTTTACGTCCCTTTTGAGGATTTCGTTGCACTCACCAGCACCAAACAGCGTACGGCTTCTTGAAGTTTTGATATTGTGTTACACAGATTATGTTATATATATATATATATATATATATATATATATATATATATATATATATATATATATATATATATATATATATGTTGTGTTAATGTAGATTCGAATGTAATAAAAAACCTTTATAATATAAACTATTTATATCAAGCAATCTTTATCTTTATTTAATATCTTGCGAAACTATAACTGTGTTTGGTAATAGTGCCATTGCATTACAGTTATATATAAATTCGACTGTTGTTTTTTACTATCCAGGACTGTTTATTTGAGTCATTTTCAGAACACAATATACCAGAAAGACCGCATTGAATGACTAGTTACAAGTTTATGTTAATGAATAAGGTATTCCAGTGGATATCAGAGCAACCCAGACTTAGGCAGGTTTCTCGAAATTATAAGTTTATAACGCTAACAAGATTCTTAGTCCAAATTTTGATTTAATTAATGTAATGGAAGAGATTTCATTTTTTTAAACTTTTGAGATTACTCAACAGCGTCGATTAGCGGCGTACCATTAAAATCTAACATTTGCCAGAAGCCATCATTTTATGAAGGTGTTTCAGTATGAGCGATAGTTATGCATATTGGTTAAAAACTATCTTCTTGGGAAATATTTTAGGAGAAAACAACTAAATTATTAAATAAGGCTGCATGTACCATATGTATTTGCATGATGTTCTAGCAACGCGTCAACCTAGCAGCAAAACTAAATTTGTATCATGCTATTTATATCAAATGTTAAGCCATTGAAAATTTCAGGAACACAGCCTCTGCTCAAAGCCTCTATCCATTTTTGACTGATAATGAAGCAATTTCAATCTACTTCATCCATGAATAATATTTTTGACTTACTAACGATATTAGATTGCGTGTTACTGATTTATCTTTGTGCAAAGTTAATTCGTTAATTTTATTTATAGTTTTATGTGGGCCTAGAATATAAGTTCAAAAGTAGATTTTCTTTCGTTGAAACACACAACTAATGATTTTGCTATGTAACTCTATGGCTCATATAAAGTTTGATTTAAAGTTTGAAATCGGAAAAGATGTATGCCGGTTACAGTCCTTTTTAATTGTCTTACTTCAGCAAAATCCTCTTTACATTTTGTCCAAACTCCGTCTAAGAGACACTGAAGATGTTTGATAGATTATATATCTTTTTTATTTTAATTTTTATATTATTAAATATAATTATTGATATGATGATAATTATGTTTGCATGGGTCTGATATTTTGTAATAAGCATCGTGTTTATTTAAAACGTAAATGTGACTTGTGTAAGCACGATTTTCGCATGAGGGTTTTGTCGTTCCAAGTAAACATTCTGGAAAAGCTATGTAACTGATTGATTGTGACAACGTCATTACTTGTTTACGCTTTTAAAAATACCCAAGTATGATTTCGAAATCACACGTATCCTTCGTGCAGGTGCACATGAAATAACGTACTATTTTGCTTTGTATGTACAGTTATTTGTAAGACATATTTAGTCGTCGTAATCAGTCATACTTATAGCATCGTAGAGTTTCTAAGTCCATAAAAGGTATTTCTGTGCTGCAAAGAGTTGTTCAATCGTACGTAAGATGAACAACATGTGTATTATTAATGGCGGTAGCTGTACGTCATCTACTTTTAAATAATTGTTTTCTCTGGAGAACAACACTAATGGCTTTGGACAAAGACATTTGATGAAATTATTTCTAAATTGGAGCAGAACAATACAAATTGTGATTCACAGTGAAAATTCTGGACGTTTTTTTGTTAACCTTCGTCTAGAACGGAACTGAGATTTAGACTGTATGAAGTAAGAACTCTTTATTCACAGGACGTATGTGTTTTCACAACTTTTGAACAAACGTTTGAATCTTCTTCGTAAATTATAAGTCTTGTTTCATATGTTTATCTTTTCACCGTGTTTCCTAGGGAAGAAAATTATTATTGTTCAAATTTGCAAAGCTAATTATCTTCACTCTTTCTTTGTGTTACTTTGAACGAGCCCATACGTAACAACTGTTGTTGCTAAATAACAAATATGCCAAAACGTAAACAGGGGTCCTGTCAATCGTATGTTAATTTAATAAATTATGTTAATTTAATGAATTATCATGCACCAAAAGTACACATCTCAGTTATACTAAGGACCTCGAAAAAATTAAAATAACAAAACCAACAATATAACGAAAATGGCTGTGTCATATATATCGGAGTATGAAATATAAGTTATACATCTTCGTCTCAATCATATAATGTTACTTTTCTGTGTAATAATACTAAATCAATTAATTTTGTGCAAATTACAATGCATACTGTACAATAGCATATATAAAAATCATGTAATATTTAAATCAGTTTAATTGCAGATATTGAGAGCATCTCACCAATAATAAGCAAAATATGTTTAATTAATGACATAATAATTAAACACAATATAACCACTTGTTTAATACTTTCTTTGATCTGTGCTTCCTTATCAATTTAATTGCAAATACTTGTAATGGGAACAGCTATGAACCGACAAAAAATTAATTAAAGCACTTTTGATTTTATTTGCCAATTTACAAAATAGTTTAAAATTATTAGATATCTAGACCACAGTATACTACCGACTTAAAATAATTTTGCGATATTTATATTTCTTTACATTATATATGAAATAACATAATACAAATGACTATTTAAAAATCACTATTTAATGAATTAAAATGCTTTACAAACGAAATATTTTTAAATAAATCAAAGTTTGTAATGAAAATAATTTGGTTTGCTAGTTTGAGAATCATCTCAAAAGGTAAAAAACCCCCAGTGATTGTAAAGTACGTTAACATATTGTATTAGTCATCAGTCGCTCTTTAGAAAATATTTGCTCGGGTAAATACAATGCTAAGAAAATATGATTTGCATGAGAAATCATTAACAACCATGTATATATTTATATGCAATAATGTTCGATAACACTGAAAGTAGGTCTTACTGGCCATATTTTATATAAAATTATAAAATAAATTTCAGATATATTAATTTACATAATACCTTTACATTTTCTTTATTGTAAACACAAAATTATATTCGTTATAAAAACTAAATATAATAAGTTGTATTTATTTCATTCTGATTTGTTCTAGAAATTTTCTAATAACTATCTGATGTAAATTTAGCAGCTGCAAATTACATTACATTCACTTATTGTATGCTAGAGGTAATTGTAATACCTACCAAAATAAATCCGATATGTGTGTTCCAATGATGGTTCGAATAAACCTGGCATTTTGGGCCTTATCATCCCGTCCAATAAGCCGGTAATTAGTCAGAATCAGCCATTGTCAGAATCAGCCAGCATTCATTTCAGTCAGTAATAATTTTTCCGCTACAGTAATGGATGCACATATTGAGACCCCACTCCTGTCGTTCTTTACTTCTTTGTGCAGAACAATTTAGATCTTCCAGATAGGTGACTACGAAGGCTAAAACCATATTTGACAAGGACATATGGGTCCGTTTCTATTTATTTTTTTCATTTTGTAATACATCATTGCCTAATATCTGAGAAATAAAATAAAACTTGGATCTTATTGCACAATATATCATACACTTAATTACATGTCCTCTTAAAGATTTTTTTGTGTTGAATTAGATCTGTACGTTTTTGCTGTTGTATATACAATTTAGATAGAAACACGAAGAGCAATTATCCCGACCATTGCCTGCATGCACGAAAAGCCGTTTCTGGGCCGTCTATTTTGCACATAAACTTGCATGATATAATTACTTCATATATATTCCATAATTTGCTAGCTACTGCAGACTAAAGTTATTTGATTGTGGAACATTTTATCGCTTTATAATCGCACTATTGTGAAGTTGATTTAAGGGACGAAAGTAAATTATATTGATACAAAAATTTGTGAGAACTTTTAATTTTTTTGCAGAACCTGGAAGTTACTTTTTATAAAACATTTTTATCGCACTCTCAATCAGTATATCTTACATGTGCAATAGAACTATATTCTCCATATGTAGATCCTTTTTCACATAATATCACCATGTTTGTGAAAGCAGTGATTGTCCGTACTAGTGACGATGTTCAGTCTTTGTTGGTTATGCTCCAGTATGGTAGTTGCTTGGAAGTGGCTTGAAGTTTTATAGTTGTTAGAATGTTTAGAATTGTAGATTTAATTAGAACATAATTGTGTTTTATATGATCTACTGCACGTCTTAGGAATATCACCACATATCTTGATAAAAAAAATCTTATCAAATTATTGGTAGCTATCATACAGTAGTGAAAAGCAGTGTACTAGAAGATCTGGTTTAACAAATACAGCCGTAAAAACTGGTTCCTTGTTCATTTCCGGAAACTGAATTTATCTACATTATTTAATATCGTCTGAGTTTTGAACAGTTTCATGATCCGTAAGCTGTAGTCGTTAGATCTTAATATAGAATGGCGCAGATATGACTTTAATCATTTTGACCTTTTTCTCGACCCATCTGGTGGCTTAAGTGGTTAAAGCGTCGGCCTCTGATGCAGGATATCGCGGGTTTGAACCCCGGCCAAATCATGACAAAGGCTTACAAAAGTGTATTTGCAGGTGCCGCCTCGCTCAGCTTTAAGTGGTTGTTATTAAGACTGGTCGGTCTCGAGTCAGGATAGACTGAGTGGGACATGATGTTACATGTCTGTGGCGTGATGCCCCTGTGCTGCATATCACAATAAACTGCCATACTGCAGACAATGTAGCGACGTGACTAAAGCAATGTTACAGCTGCGTTAATAATCTAAACACATGCATACACGCCTTACCCTCTACTATGGCCAAAATGTATCTACCCTGCATATAATATTGGTACCAAATAAGTGATGTAAGTTACTTGCCTTTAATGATAATTCAAATTTCATCTATGTCCTCTTTAAAATAAATCTCAGCTCGATTAAGGCTGCTATTGTAAAGAAAACTTTGCCATTAGTTCAGTGGTTCTTCCAAGGGTCTTCTCGATTTCCTCTTCCACCAAATATTTCTGCTGTCATGTATAGCCTATCAGATGATGAAAAATGGAGTTAAATGCTAAACACCAAGTTAAACTTAACGAAATTAAACAGGTATCAAACAAAATAGTTGCATATATATATCACATTTCGATACATTTATTAATACCCAGGAAAATATCTATATAAAATCTATTGAAAAAATTTGTTAGCTTTCTTGATATGGTATAGAGAAAAGGAACTCGTGTTTGTGTAACTGATTATTTACAAATGAACATTTACGATGAACTGGTGTTCACGTCCTCGTGCGTTATTTGCAAATATTTTTGTAATTTGGGCCTGATATAAATACTACTGAAATAAACGTATTTTCTCAATCCGTGCTGATCCCCAATAATCAGTCTTTTTTTACTCATTTTTATTCAGCATCAGAAGAGAACTCTAAAACCTGTTACAATACGCCGGTATTTCAAATGTGTACAATTGAACATGTATTGATCACTGTATGGAAGTTTTCCATTGGTTAGTACTTAAACACGTGATCAGGTTTAACTTTATTTCTGCATAAACTGTACGGAGAACTACTTTATACTAATCTCTTAAGGAAACATTGAATCAGAAGGCATACACGCTGCATGTCTTTAAAACGAAATAAAAATAGCTGGTTTGTATTTTGTTTAAGAAATTGAATAGTTTTAGTTTACAGATTAAAATAACAAATCTTTGTATTTTTTGGAAGATAAATTAATTTTATTATGAAAAGATTTATAAGAATAACTGGAAAAAATCAAAATCTGCCAAATAATATTGAACTACATAGTCTTCATTGAGACTATCTACAAATGAATTTGAAACAATAGAAAACTGAAAATCAGTATTGGGGGGAGCTGGGTTTCATGACGAACATTTTAACAACCGGACGCAATATTCCCACAGTGTAGGAAGCATACAATGTTAGTTATGATGTGGGTGGTGCGTGGTGGACGAGAACATGCTGAGGAATGTTCAAAATCTTCAATTGCATAACATTGGTAGCATTATTTCAATGATCTGACTTAGCTCGTGCGTTACAGATGGAGAATCCCTTGTTCTATAAATATATATGTAGCAGACCACCTCAACAAAATTCATACTAATAAATAAGTTTCAAAAGTTGATAGGATATATATTTTTGAATCATAAACCGAAAACAATTATAAAGAAATTTTATTATAAGAGTTTAATATATCTTTTGCTGCATCTAAGATTGATTAAATTGTCTGATGCCAACTCACATAACTTTTATAAAGTCCTTCGGGGGTTATTTGTTATTTTGATTTATCAACTTACAGTGATAAATTATAAGTGATAAATACTCACGATAAATGCAGAAAACCTACTAAACACCTAATTATTTTACTTGATTTTGTTACACAGGCGACAATTTGTTAATTTATCTTGCACAGGACCAATGGATTTGATAGAAATGTAACTTACTGTTGTAATTACTTAAAAATGACCAAAATCTTATCCAGTGACACACATTGAAGTGATTCCTTCTTTAGAAATCGTAACAATTGCAAGAGAACATAATCTCAACGAATATAATTTCGCTTTTACATACATACATACATACATACATACATACATACATACATACATACATACATACATACATACATACATACATACATACATACATACATACATACATACATACATACACACACACACACACACACACACACACACACACATACATACATACATACATACATACATACATACATACATACATACATACATACATACATACATACATACATACATACATACATACATACATACATACATACATACATATATTTACATATATGTATTTTAATTACTTGTGTGTTAGTTTCAATTATTTATTTTAGCTCTATTTCATTTTATATTATTATAATGAAAACTTTATTCACTGGATTTGACATTTTTTTCCGGAACATTCATTTCAGTTCTGGCAAATAACCAATATTGCAACATTGTATTTTTAGCTGACCAAGTTACTGAAATTGATTCAGAATTGGTAAATAATATTTTTATTATTTCCTTGAGTGAACATTATTGGTTGTATTCAATGTCACAGATTTCTTGGACAATGACATTTATTGGAAAGTATATGGATTTCTAAACCCAGAGTATTATCTCTGTTTCAATGAAACCATTTTTAGTGATATGACGCATATTTGTAAATTCTATAAATAATTTTGCAAGCGTCTGAGCTCTTTTAAAGTACTTACACCATCATGGACGTAAACGATTTAAAGAAATTTGGATTACCTTAGTAAAACTGTACGTCAAAGATAGAGTACGACTACCATCGCAAATTGGATGATAATTTCGTAGGTCTTATGATTTTGTCATCATAATATCATAGATCTCATCAAGCTCAGAGGCTGGAGTTGAAATTGTGAAATATGAAATAGCCGTGAGAGTAAGTTTCAAAATGGAAACATAATTTTTAGTAGCATATCCGAAACATTAATGCCAATAGATGGTAGTATAGTGTATTTAATCGTGAATTGGGATCATACCTTACGAAGCCAAATAAAATAAGTCTGGAATCTATCATATATCAGTCTGACACTTTCTGATGAAGACTGCTCATTGCAAAATAATGACTTCTGTAATGGAGAACGATCTACTTTAAGAAGTTATCATCCGAAGCACAAGGATATGGTTCAGTCTGATTAAACCATTTAATTGACTTTGTTTAGAGAGAGAGAGAGAGAGAGAGAGAGAGAGAGAGAGAGAGAGAGAGAGAGAGAGAGAGAGAGAGAGAGAGAGAGAGAGAGAGAGAGGAGATGAATTTAACAATAACATCTTGAAAAATTTACTCAACTCTACCTTATAAGAGAACATTCCAATAATGTAGTCTGTGCCAGTATTTCACTGTATATTTTGCCAGTATTTTACTAATCTGTACCAGTATAGTACTGTAAGTCATTGCCAGTATTTTACTGGACAATCTGTGCCATTATTTAACTGTACAGTTTGTACCATTATTTCAATCGACATTTTTGCTGGTCTTTCACTATACACACTGTGCCAGTAATTCACTTAACATGTTTTGGTATTTCACATTGCAATCTATGTCAGCATTTCACTGTACATTCTGTGTCTGTATTTCACTATTAAGTCTGTGACAGTATATCACTGTACAGCCTCTGTATGTTTTTCACTATACATTGTGTCAGTATTATACTGTACATTTTGTGCTTGTATTCACTATACAGTTTTTGCCAGTATTTCGCTTTACAGTCTGTGTCTGCATTTTGCTATACAGTTTGTGCCATCAATTCATTATTCAGTCTGTGCCAGTTATTTCAAGAAAATCATTCACTCTTTGTTGGCAACATTTATTCTTACATATCGTGATTTGTGCAAGAATCACGTGGAAACATATTAAGACAAGTGTCACAGCACGGATAAGAATTTAGCGCTGTGCTTAACTTACTGTTGCAATATGAGCGAGCATTAGAAATTCCAAGCAACGAATAAGTAAGGATTTTGAAAGAGACCAGCACTATGCAATGCAGTCAACCCAAGAAATCTTAAATCCTCTCTATATCTTGAAAGTTAAAGTTCGCTTACTTGAAGATTGGTTTCAGAGACACAGACTCATAATACGTCACCGTGTATAATTAGAAAGATCACTTCCATGAAATTAGGAATATGAAGGTATTTATAGGATACGGATACTGCAAAAATTAACGTTAAGATTAATACGATTTGCACAAAATTAACCAATTGAATAGATTAAAAGCAAATGATAATTGTGATGTGATTATGATTTTTAACGTAGCTTTAACAATGTTTAATATATCTCTACGATGTCTACATTGTGGCAGTTTATAGTTTAGTCTAGCAGTGTGGCATCATGCCGTAGACATGTAGAATGATGTTAAGCCCGGTCACATTTTCCTGATATTCGGCCGACCAGTTCTAACACTAACGTCGTAATGCTGAGCGCCAAGTGAGGCAGCTTTTAGTGTCATATTTGTAATACTTTGGCATGAATCGAACGGTGTTTGAACCCACGACATCTCGCATCCGAGGCGGACTTTCTAACCAATATAACACCGGAGATATCTGCGCATGAGAATTAATAGATTTGTGTAAAAAATGTGTACAGGTTCATTATAATTCCATTAGATCTGGATATAAACTATGTCCTTTTACTTTTGCCTGTAGTTGTGTATTCTGACCTCTTATACTATGTTCATCAAGATATGTACGAACAAGCCGAAGGACTGGATACGACAAACCCAAATGAAACGGAACCTTTGAGTACGAACAAGCCGAAGGACTGGATAAGACAAATCCAAATGAAACGGAACCTTTGAGTACGAACAAGCCGAAGGACTGGATAAGACAAACCCAAATGAAACGGAACCTTTGAGTACGAACAAGCCGAAGGACTGGATAGGACAAACCCAAATGAAACGGAACCTTTGGGTACGAACAAGCCAAAGGACTGGATACGACAAACCCAAATGAAAAGGAATCTTTGAGTACGAACAAGCCGAAGGACTGGCTAAGACAAATCCAAAT